ATCACCTCTCAACAAAAGTTTGCTCTAGGCACTGTCAGGCCATGATATGCTAATCAAGGTGGTCAGTTGAAATATTCACACTTGGCTCCAGAAGACAAGAGTCCTTTGTCTCACCCTGGTCATTCCACAGATATATAAACCCATTTCCCTACTTCCAACAGACCTCACTACCTCTGAGGATGCTTGCCATAGATGCAGGCAAACGTCAGGAGAAAATGCCTCTAGAACATGGCCATATAGCCCGGAAAAACCTACAACAACCCAATATTTTGAACACCTATTCCATCTTCTTGCTTGTCTTTTGCCACATGTAAAAAAGCAATGCTGATGAACATGGTATTTTGGCCAGACATTCTAAGCAACTAATCTCAGGTTTATTCCAAAGGTGAAAAATCTATCTGATCAGAGACATAAGAAGACCTCATTAACAGATGACACTGCCTACCCTTCCTTAGTCACAGTACGCTGGCAACATTTATTTATTTACTTATTTTATTTACAGTATTTATATTCCGCCCTTATCACCCCGCGGTGGACTCAGCGTGGATTACAATGTACATATACATGGCAAACATTCAATGCCATAGACACACAACATATATCGACAGACACACAGAGGCTATTTAGCATTCCAGCTTTTTCATGAGGGTATTCTGGCCACCAGGGGAGCTGTCGCTTCACCATCCATTAGTGACACTAATGAAATACTTCCTCATTCTTTGCATGCTTGCTGGAGATTTTTATGGCCTCGTAAATTAGCCTGCCCAGATACGCGGTACCGAAATTTCCTACTTGATAGATGCAACTGTCTTTTGGGCTGCAAAGGTCGACAGCAAGCTACGCAAATTGGTCAGAAGCTCACTCTGACCCGTGCTGGCTTCGAACTCATGATCTTGTGGTCAGTAGTGATCTTAATACAGTTGACTCCCAGCCAGCCGCGCCACAGTCCCGGTGCAAATTTCACTCATTTTGAGCTCATGGCAGAAACTCAGCTGATCCAGACCCAGGTATTTCATGTTCTCTAAGTATACTTGAGGCTGCATTACTATAGCTTCACCTCCAAAAGGGTGAAATATAAAAGACTGCATAATACGAGGGGTATTTTTTAAGTAAGGTCCGTTTTGTTGTAGACACTAGTAGTTTGCGCGCATACCGCAACGAGCACGTGCGTCATGTACTGGCATGCCTCGGGAACAACTGTGCTCCGTTTCCGCTCTGTAGCTAACCTGTACGGTTCTGTTCTGTGCTTTAAAAATGTTTAAGACTATCAACTCACCCACCGATAAATTTCTGCAGCAGGCAGGTTCCTTGCTGACAAAAACCGTATCACTGAGCGAACCTCACATGCGGCATTTTTAAAGCACAGAACAGAACCGTACAGGTTAGCTACAGAGCGGAAACGGAGCACAGTTGTTCCCGAGGCATGCCGGTACACGACGCACGTGCTCGTTGCGGTATGCGCGCAAACTACTAGTGTCTACAACAAAACGGACCTTACTTAAAAAAATACCCCTTGTATATTGCGAAGGAATCGACATCAGAAGTTTGTTTTTCTGGAGAACAGGCCTGCTATTAAAAGTTCTAATTAAGCTGGCAACTTTGAACAACAGCTGGAACTAACTGCACAGAATGTCCTGCCAAGACTCCCGCTAAGCAGCAACACTCACTGTAAAGATATGTGACCACCAGTGAACAATCCCCACCCACCCCCAGCAACTTACACATGTCCAGTCTCGTGAGCAACCACAAATGCAGAGGAGAATCCATCTTCATGATTGAGGGTGCAACTGCGCAGAGGGTGGCACATCCCAGTGACAGGAGCATACCCTGGAATGAGGCAAAGGAACAAAACGAAGAACAAGAGCAAAGACAAAGAGAGAAGGGAGGGAGAAGAAAAAAGAGTGGAGAGAGGGTACATGAGAAAGAAGAAACCATGCACTGGAATTGTTTCAATCATATTTCATGCTTGGTTCCCACTGGAGGGCCATGAACACACAGCTGCCTGGGAATAGGAACAAAACCCATTAGGATGTTCCACCAGACATACATCATGAAAGCAAAAAAACCCCAAAAAACTGTCAGGAATTCTCATTAAAAATACAGCAATTTAAATCTCAGTACATAGGCACCCACCCAAACAAGCTTCTGAAATGTGGTATTTCTTTTATATAACCTTTCCGTTTGGCACTTTCTGGCATTTGAGAAAATGTTCAGACAAGCTAAAAGAAAGGATATATCAGGTCAACCATGGCCCATAGATCCTATAGCCTAGTGTTTATCAAAATCTGATGACATGATGGCAACAGTATTGGACAGCAATCACTCCCAAAGTGACCCATTTAAGGTGGGATCAGGTGTCAAACAGGGATGTGTTGTTGCCCCAACCTTATTCTCCATTTTCATTGCTATGATACTTCATCTTGGTGATGGGAAGCTTCCCACCGGAGTGAAAATCATCTATTGGACAGATGGCAAGCTATTTAACCTCAGCTGAAAGCCAAAACCAAGGTTACAACAACATCTGTTATAGAACTCTAGTATGCTGATGACGTCATCTGTGCGCATTCAGAAGAAGACCTACAAGCCACTCTAAACACCTTCACAGAAGCATACGAGAAGCTCGGCCTGTCACTGAACATCAAGAAAGCCAAAGTGCTCTTCCAGCAGTCACCAGCCAATCGGTCTCCAATGCCAGAAATACAGCTTAATGGTATAACATTAGAAAATGTTGATCATTTCCGCTGCCTTGGCAGCCACCTCTCCACAAAAGTCAACATTGACACTGAAATACAACACCGCCTGAGCTCTGCGAGTGCAGCTTTTTCTCGAATGAAGCACAGAGTGTTTGAGGACCGGGACATCCGTAGGGATACCAAGGTGCTTGTTTATAAAGCTATTGTCCTCCCAACCCTGCTATATGCCTGCGAGACGTGGACAGTCTACAGACGTCACATGCAACTCCTGGAACGATTCCATCAGTTGCCTCCAAAAAATCCTGCAAATCTCTTGGGAAGGCAAGCAGACAAATGTCAGTGTGCTGGAAGACATCTGTAGGGAGACTAAGGTGCTTGTTGATAAAGCCATTGTCCTCCCAACCCTGCTCTATGCTTGCAAGTTGATTTTATTGATTTTTTCAACATCATTAAACATATGATAATACATTAACACATAGTGCAGGTGCACAGAACAAACGTGACAAACTGCAACACACGACAAACATCACAAACAACAGATCGCCCAACCTAGAGTATTGCTATATTTAGCATAGCTTTCGTGTGTAACGTTGGGTTGGTGCATACATACTTATGTTTTATTTATTCTAAGTTACCTAGTATCTCTCCCTGGTCCTTTCCCTTTAATTAGGATTACTAGATATCGAATTTTGTAAATACATTAAGGCACGTAAGGCCTAGAAACTGGAATGCCTAGGGAAGGGATCTTGTGAGACTTAGTTGGGACTGTACCCACCACCTTAAATCACCCTAGTGACAATAAAAGTACTTCCAAGGGTAGTCTAGACAGTAATTATCGTTTTGGCCAGGGGTTTTCCCTTCAACTCTATGTATTCGTCATACGTCGGATGGCTAATAATTATTCCCTCGAGAAATTCCTCTATTCTGTACTGATGTTAATTTCTTTATTGGATTTTTTTATGTAATCGGTAAAACACTTCCAGTTCGTTTTTGGTGGTTTCGGTATGTTCTGAGATATTTTGTGTGTTAGGATGTCCATATTCATTATATCCCATACTTTCAGCAACCAGTGATCTATGGAGGGGATTTCCTTGGTTTTCCAGACCTTAGCTATGACTGTTCTGGCAGCTGT